CATGTGACTGAATGTTGAAATGTTCCTTTAAATGTCCTCTATTTCCTCTCAAACTCCTTCAGCATCTATAATGCATCTCTCCATTTCATCTTGCTCCTTCTGATCTCTTTTTTCCTTGCTCTCTGTCTCTCTTTAAAAAAAGAAAAAAAGCTTCAGGTGAGAAACAGGATCTGAAACGCACCACCTTTACCTGAAGATTTTTTCTTTTCATTTTTCATGTGACTGAATGTTGAACTGTCCCTTTAAGTTTCCTCTATTTTCTTCTCAAACTCCTTCAGCATCTATAATGCATATCTCCATTTCATCTTACTCCTTCTGATCTCTTTTCCTCTTGCTCTCTCTCTCTCTCTCTCTCTCTCTCTCTCTCTCTCTCTCTCTCTCTCTTTAAAAGAAGAAATAAGCTCGTGACTGAATGTTGAACTGTCCCTTTAAGTTTCCTCTATTTCCTCCCAAACTCCTTCAGCATCTATAATGCATCTCTTCATCTCACCTTACCTCTTCTGACCTCGTCTTTCCTCTCAGAAAAAAAAGTGCTTCAGGTGAGGAAGCATCTGAACGAAAAAGCCAGGAAAAGCAATTTAAAAAGCTCCCTTTTTCATGAAATGTAAACTGGTTAAAGATCTTGAGTTCTAGTATAAAATGGACTGTCATTTTGAGAGAAACTTAAATAATTCTGAAATGTATATCAGGCTGAAGATGGGTTGTTAAAACCAGCAAGATATAAACACTTGAAAATGAGCTAAACCTAACCAAATTAAGTGGGAAAAAAAAGGAAAACTTATATTTGAACATACAAGACCATATGTTCATTATGCATTTATTTTGGTACAACAATTCTTTCATGTTATGATGTTTATTTTTTGGCTAATGAGGATTTTTTTACCCCAGATGTTTGGCAAAAATCATGTAATTTGTATTGTGTAACATTCATTGTATTTTTTATTATTCTGTGAGATCGTTTTCTCCATTACCCTAAAGTCAGGATTTCATTTACCTTCAATCACTACAAAGTCATGTCAAAGCATTTTGACAGGTTTTGGTGCATTTACAATTCATGCTTGTTTCAAAGATTATGTTTAAGTACTTAATCTGATATTTCAGCCCCTGCTGTTGTCTGTGTTCCAATATTACTCTGAAAATAGACCGATAGGTTCTAACTTGGTCACATGATATTCTTATGGGACGCACAGTGAAGGCATCATCAAAATTTGGCCCCTAAAATGTTAGGCCTTGAGCTAATGTGTGATTATGTAAAGCATTTGTAATCATGTTTCAACTGCAAGGAAACATGCTATTTCTGACTGTGATATTTGTAGATTAAAGGTCAATGCAACTACTTGTGAAGGCAAGTCATGTTTTTGTGACTTTTTGCAATTATTTTAATCTTGAAAATGTAATAAATTAAATGATTGTGAGGGATAGTGATAATTTTGATTTTTCACTATCATTTTGACCCTGAAAATTTAATAGGGTAAAATGTGACAAATTTACTTATAATTCTACCGTAGCTTAGTGCTTTTGTAGTGCAGAGTGTCAAAATTATTTGGAATAAGGCTATTTTATCAAATTGGCACACACAAGTAAATTGTTTTTAAACATAGAATGCTATAGGGTGATACTCTATATCCTACTAAATGGCCGCACTCATATAACTGTTTTTAAACATAGAATGCTAAAGGGTGATACTCTAGATGCAGTCAAAGTATTATCCTAATACTTTGACTGCGCTTATTATTATACTTAACAATTCCTGACCAAAAGATGCAACTTGTTGCTTCAGGGTTTGTGAGAGGAAATACTGGGAAATTGATTTCAGGGCTCGTAGTCATAAAACCCTACTAAGCCTAGTTGTCAAGTAACTATGTGCTATAGCCTATGCAATTAGTTGACATCTAGCTCAGTAGGGTTATATGAATATGGGCCCAATTCCCTTTTTTCCACCCTTTTATATGATAAAGATTACTTTCAAAAGCATATTTTGCATGTACCGGTAGTGGTAGTTCATGAAGTTCACTTATCGAATAATGTACAGTACACTACTGGAGTAGAAATTCAACTGTTGCACTAAGCTTTACGATTATGCTTTTGTATCAGTCCCATGGTTATCCTACATGCATTCCTTGGTGGTCGTTCTCCCTCTCCTGTTTCATCTTGCATGTTGAGATCCAGGCACGTACGTAGCTCTGAGGGCTGGGTATAAACCACAGAGATTTACACCGCAATTTCATGAATATTGATTAACTCAATCCAGTGGAGACGTTTGGGTCTTGGGTTGGAGAATTCACATTGGTATATTTTGATGGAAAAGTATGTCAATTTCAATTTTTTTACCAGTGTTGATATGAATTTTGATATATTACAAAATATGTTATAAAAAAAAAAGATTATGTTGAGAGCTAATGTATAACATAATACTAAATTTATTATATCAAGTGAATTTGCTGTGTTCAGAAAATGATTTTTAATTGAAATAAATTCATGAGTTCCTTTAAAGTTGTGTTGACACAATTTTTTCATCTTTCTCTCTCTCTCTCTCTCTCTCTCTCTCTCTCTCTCCTCCTTACCTCCGTCCCCATCTCTCTCTTTCCCCTCCCCCTCTTTCTCTCTCTATCCCTTCCTGCTCTCTCTCCCTTCCTTCCCTCTCCATCTTCCTTCCCTTTGTCTCTTCCTTCCTTCCTTCTAGCTCTTTCCATTCCCCATTTCTCCCCCTTCATCCTTCCCTCTCTCTATATATATATCTTTCTCTCTGTCTCCCACCTCCCCTCCCTACCTCCCCTCCCCTCCCCACCTCCTCTACCTTCCCTCTCCCTGGTGAGGAGAAAGGGAGGCAGTCAAAGGGGGTAATTGACTAGAGCATCCATGTTTTAATTGTGTAAGGAAGCACTTATTTCCACTCCAAAGCACAGCTTATATCAGCATCTCGGGTAGATGTGGACTTAGCAGTGGTGATGATGTATAATGTGATTGCACTGACTTAAAGAGAAGGTTGAGTTCTTGGAAGAGGTGAAAAATAATTTGTGAGCGTTATCATTCTTATTATGTAAGTGTGGAAGAACATCAGATAAGACATGTTCCCTGAAAAGCATGGCTCTTCAAATGCCTTCATATTCTAAATATGTCATGTAACATCGTAACAATCCAGAGTAGGATTTTTACGCCACGTGTTCGTGTAGTCCCATATACATCTTTATGTGTACAATGTTTGTAAATTTACCAAGACTTGGCCAAATTTCTTATCATTTTGATGATTCCAGAACCTTGCAATACACACAAATTCTTATATGCTAGATGATGAACCTTTTCTGGTCGATTCCACACCGTATCTTTCACAATGCAATCGCATGACCAGAACTCAACTTCATCTTTAATACCATCCTTCATCAGATTTGTCTGTATGTCTATGGTCTTGCGTTGATAACCTTTAGTGTGAATGCACCTACCATCTTGTAACAGGTCCACATGTGTGAACATGCTGACCTTAATCCACAGGGTTTACTGCCATGTGGTGGACATACCTTGTGTGAACATGCCTTCCTGGCATGTTAATTATCATACCTACCTGTATCTTTCTTTGAAGGTCGGTAGTTATTTGAAGGTACTTTTCACGTATGATTAGAATTATTTCTACCCTGTATCTACCTCTGTGCAGTAGTTGTTTGTGGTCTGTTCGGATGTTTTTTTAAAAATGCAATTCCGAAGTACATCTTGCATCAATGCCACCTTATCTACTTCAAGGCCGCTGGTTTTTATGTGTTATGTGTGGATGGTTGGTGTTTTCATACCCAATTTCATGTATATCTATATCTTACGTCAGATTTATCATCTACCACTATGTACAGTCATACCTGGTTTAGCGACCACCTGTCTACAAAGACCACATATTTTTGTTTCTATTGCAAATGGTTTCTCATTGAAACATGTACTAAAGGAACCTGTACTTAAAGACCACCTGTCTGTTAAGACCACATTTTGTGCCCCTCTTGAGTGGTCTTTATAGACAGGTTTCATTGTAGTAGGTATTTACAGTCTTCTTGTGAACGACCACCTGTCTAAAAAGACCCATTCTTTGTTTCCATTGCAAACGGTTCCTCATTTAAAACATGAACTAAAGGAACCTGTACATAAAGACCACCCATCTGTCTATAAAGACCACTTTTTGTGTCCCTCTTGGATGGTCTTTATAGACAGGTTTCACTGTAGTAGGTGTTCACAGTCTTCTTGTGATCCTTGTACGTGTGAATGCACCTCCCAGGTATGTCTTGCATGAGGAGATTACCTCGCATCAGGGAACGTGTGAATGTTCCTGTGGTACACATCTGTACTCACTCGCTGATCAAGTCCTTCAATTTTCCTGCCTGTTGAAATATTAATGGAATGTCAAACCTCAGATTAGCCCTGCCTTTATGCTTCCTGTAATAAACCATGGTTGAGAAGAGATGATGGTAGAAAGAGAGAAAGGCAGAGAGAGGGAGAGAGAGAGAGAGAGGGGGGGGAGAGAAAAGGAAAGAGCGGGAGAAAGAGAGAGAAAGGCAAAGAGAGGAAGATGGTGAGGTATATATAAAGAAAAGGAAGAAAGAGAGGTAGAATGAGAAACGAATGTGAGAGATTAATGTAACATGTAACGTGAGGGTGTATTTATTTGATTTCATATCTACTTTTGTTATATAGGCCTAAAAAACTACTCACTGTTTGTAGTTTATGAAGGATTATTAAAAAAAAACACTTTTTTTCCATTGGTTAATGCCATATATTATAAAATGTACATACTTGAAGGATATAGGCCCACTAATTTGTTTACATAATTATATTTGGAATCTGAACATTCATTTTGTTCATATGCTGTTGTATTGAAATGTTATCAGACTCAGTTCAAATATTCCTGATTCGTATCTTGCTGTGAAAATATGTCTGTTTATGTTCATTTTATTCTGATTCATTGACTTTGCTTATGTTAGAAAGGTTACTAATGATTTTAATATTTGTGTTCCATTTCTTTCAGAGTATTTTATGTATCACACGACTCCCAAGATTTGAAGATCTTCAGTTATATCGCCAGGGATGGCCAAACCAACGTATTCAAGTGCAATGTATTCAAATCACACAGAAAGGTAAGACAAATTCTAATTCTTCTAATGATGTTCTGAAATGTTTTTGATGTAATTCTCTCCCTCAATCTCTTTCTTTATCTTTGATTTTTACCCATCCTTCCCTCATTCTTATGCCCTTCCTTGTTATTCCCTTTCCTTTTTACTTTCTTTTCCAATATTTTCTCGTTCATTCTAATCTCCTCTCTTTCTCCTTTTGCAGTTCCTTCTTATTCCTCCAGTCTCTTTCCCCCCTTTTCCATTTCTTTTCCTTTCCGGTTTCCATCTTGTCCCCAAATTACTATTCTCATCATCATTCGATGGTAATCATAAAGTCTGGTATCAAAGAATACAAGAAATTACAGTGTACTCATATAACCCATGTTAATGATAATAATGATAATATGTCATCCTTGTAACGTGCATATCTCATATCACATCCATATGTGACAGCACATTGATATAAACATATACAAAACTTAGTATGTTTGACCCACATTCCATATTAAAGTATGACATCATACTGGCCAAGTTGCTGGCTTTAAACAATTTTGTGCTAAGATCACACCAGCACCACACACTTAATTTGCCCTTCTCCAGCCTATTGCTTTAATGGCTTTGCGATGGACCTCATGAGCAGGCTCTGTTGTTTAGAACCATTTACCTGGATGACAAGTGAATATGACGATAGCGCTTTGGTACACTTAAATGGCATTATCTGACCGTGGTAAAGGTCCATGATCTCTTACAAACCATTTTCAGCAATCTTTGATGTCTATATATAAACTTCAACCCTCTGCCTAAGGTCTAGAAGAGAGTTTAGTTGAAAACGAATGCTTACACATGAAAGCCCTTATTGAATTTGAAGGCTGAGTTCCGAGATCTCCTCAAATACTGGGAGAAGCAGACTTGTTAGTACAGATGGATGAGCATTCCACCTCTCAACGGCCATGTTCACATTCGGTTAACAAAAAGTGGGGTGGATTCATCTGTTTAGAAATAGATATATTTTGCAGTAAATTGTGTGTATTGTCCCAAAGTTTGTATCACATTGTAGTCCATTGTGAATGCAAAACTAAAATTCGGCACTAGGTAATATTTGGTGAATGTTTAATTCTGGTAGACCTAAAAAATGACTTAAAAAACAAATTTGCTTTAAACATACAGTATGTTCCAACAATGTTGTGTATGTCACAGCTTACAATACAAATGTGAACAGGGCCATTTCATTCTTACTAACATTGATTTAGATATGAGGCTGATCGTCAACGAAATGGAGTTAAGTCTTTTGTCAATTCTGTTTGTTGCTACAGCAGGCAGCCAGTGAAAACGAATTTGTTTAATAAAATTATGGAAATGCAAGCATTCCTTGGAACAAACAGAACTTTGTTCTTCCTAGCTCATTTTTCTTGATTGATGTGTCATATGAAAGGGCAGAAAATGCATCAAATGAGTTGCATCACATGAAAGAAGAGGAGCTGAGCTTTACAAATATGTGTCACATGTTAATTTTAATTGTGATTAAGTTATGATAAAACATTGATAATTCTCAGTTTTGTTTTTTCTGGGACGCACTTTATGTACTCATTTGGGAACTTTGACTTTGATGTTTTAGTGTATATGCCTTCGTTTTTAAAAGATACATGTGAACCAGGCCATCTCATTCCCATTCCTTAGTATTGATTAGATTTGAGCCTGCTTCAGTAACCCATGGGGGGACTTTCATTGAATCAGTTACAGGAATTAAAACCCTCTCCTCGTACATCTGAAGGTGTGAATTGTGTGCTGTAGATTCTGATACCGTAGTTTTCAACACGCAGACAAAGAGGGAATAGAATAAGAAAGCGGTCAATGGATGGATAGATAAATGAATGAATATCTATAAAAAAAAAATTTCAAAAAAGAATCAGTAAACTTTAAGGTATTAAATTTCTCCCTTGATATGGATAGAGGTGAGAATGTACTGTGATAATTCTGTAAACTTAGTTGCCGGCATGCAGACAAAGATTGGATTGAATAAGAATTGGGTCAAGGAATGGATAAGATATCAGATGGATACCGGTAGATAAACTGTTGAATTTTATTCTTTAACAACTACAAATAAGTCAGTTAAAAGGTTAATACCCTTTCTTTAGATGTGTGGAGGTGATCCAGAAAGGTTTGCTGTAAATTCTGATAACTTACGGTAGTGTCCAGCATGCAAGCAAAGAGTGAATTAAAAACAGAAATAGGTCAATGGACGGATTAGATATAGAATGTATAGAAAAATGAATGAATGACTGAATGGATGGATGGATAGATAACCAGATGAATGAAGGAAGGAAGGAAGGAAGGAATTTTGAAACAAGTTCATGTTTGGATGATTGTATGGCTGAATTGATAGGCTGATGGAAGATTCAATGAATATATTTACAAATAAATGAATGTATAGATGGGTGGTCGAATGAATAAATTTGTGAATCAGTGAATGGATGATTGAGTAAAGCTGGATAAACAGGAAAAATTGATCTATTGTTCGATTAGGTATTGGCTTTTGATAATAAGGAGCCTGGAAGCAAAGAACAGCCTTGGGGGAAATCAAATTATCCAAAATGGATTATTTCAACTTCTAAAGTCACTCCTGTCATCCTGCATTACGCTCAAAGTCGGGGTTCTCATACAAAAGAATTATGTATGAGCCAGAGCAATAATAACTTCATACCCAATACCCATGAGATAAAATTGTTCACCATTGTGTAATTATTCATGTCACGCCTCGCCATGGCCCTATCAGAAGCAATCTTTACACCTTAGACCTGTGGTGGAGCACAGCATAGATGTTATCATGTGGGACTATTCATCAAAAAGGGTAGAAAACTATATATCTGAATCGACACTTCAGGATAAAAAAAACAGTCTCGGGGTAACAAGGTATGAAAATTGCACTTACAAAGTCTGTCTCCCTGACAACCAGATCAATTCATTAGATTTAGCCGTGCTTTGAATTGATATCATGCGGTGATATTGGGCGTACAGCGGGGAGCAGGTCGAGTATCCATGCACCCCTTGGAATTCCCGGGCAAACATTAAGTTTGGTCTGCTCAAATCGATTCAAAATTGGATAGAATGCTAACCTCTCCTAGGCTTGTCCTGCAGACTCTGTGTCGTCTGCGGAGGATGAAGAATGAAAATACCTTATTAAGCTATCTCCTAGATGTTTGTGTGAAAGAAAGTGTGAAAACTCTGGTAATTAAGCAAATTTCGAGGGGGGGGGGTAGATATTGGTTATATAGAAAACCCTATTTCAAATGTAAAAAAAATCAACTCCATCTGAAATGAAAAAAAGGATAGTATGGGTTTTTAAAAGGTCAAGGGATTAGATCTTGGAACAACAAAAAGAAAAATGATGAACACAAATGTAAAAGATGATGAGTTGCTTTCGTGGAAAAGATAGGGTAAGAGTACCGGTATTACTCTTTTTGTTGATGGGTCTATATTTTGATCATCTAGTGTTCACTCTCATAAAATTTAATTATTTTGGTTAGACCCTAGGCTGTACATGGAATCTAAAGTGAACAATGGACTAGTCAGGGAAAAATTAAATGTGTGGAGACGCTATCTATATATTTCATCCGTAACCATTGACAGTTTGCAATACCCATCCATTTTGAATTTGAACATCCTATTATGTGATATCGACTACACCTTCACATTATTTGTCTGGCTCGAAATAAAATTCCTGCACTTTCCAAGGTCACCAGGTTCACCTGCATTGACAACGAAACCCAAGGCAAAGCTCCTAGAATGGGGGGGGGGGGGGGGGTTCATGTTAAACTTCACCAAACAAATCTACCATTGAGAGCCAGAAGGGCGTTATTCTGTGTTAAATTATATCACTTACTGCCCTTCTGTTTCCAAGCTATAGTTGAAATATAGTACTGTCTGGTTAGGTGCCTTAAAAGGTCAATATTTGCTCATCTTCTAGTACTCTCCTCCTGTTCACTGGCTTTGTAAACATGGCATTTTGAGAAGGGGAAAGCCTACATCTGAGATTCACTTTCATATGTAGGCAAGAGCATCATTCACACTGGTGCTGATTCAAGGCACAACTACAAATTCGCTGAGCATGTTGGAAATAGAATTGCTATATTGTGTAAAGTGAGATGATCCAATTTTCTATCCATTGTACAGGATTGTTCCATTGCTATAATTTCTTCTTTTGGGATTAAATATTGTTGTCGTATTCAAATGAATAACACAAACCTTAAATTATGTCAGCTGCAAGTTAATTGGACCTGGTAGTTCTTAACATTGTTTATTTGTATTTTAACTCAAGTATATCTATAGACTACACAGTTGCATGATCGGTTTTGGTTCTGTTTAATATATCGGTCCTCATAATTAAACACTTTAGGAGTGCTGGTGTGAAAAAGCCTACATTAATTATAATCAGCGGCAGTGGGGAAAGGGCGATCAATAGATATCAGTTGGCGATATCAAAAGACAGTATCAAAATTCCGGATGGAGATCTTTGTCAACATCCATTAGAGTGAGATGCAATTTCTGGGCTCACTGGTAGCTCTTTCAGACAAAAGGAAACTGCATGGAACATAGAAAGAAACGTGTCAAGAAGGAATAATTGTTTACCAGAAGGGACATACACACTTGAAAAGGAACACAGTGTTAAGACTGGCCAATCATTAGTGCTTGCTCATGATAAGCCCCGCCCAGTTATGTGGATGTGGACTAGACAGGACCTGATACTTTATCAAATTTTCATTTGAAATGATGCTCACATGTATGTTTTACCGTAGGACGTTTTTTGTTGAATGTTTTGTTGTACAAACAAAAAAAATTATAAGGCTTTATGATTTTTGTATAGTTATACAATGAATCTTTTGGGTCTGAATGGGGTGAATGATGGGGAACGAGATATTCCTACCCATGTTTGAGCAATTGATTCATTGCGGTTAAAACGGCGTGAATATTCCACGCGTTGCAGGGGGTGAAGAGATGAAACTTTCACCTCCTCCTTCATGGATTTT